AGTATGAATTTCTGGAAATGACAATGACTAGAAACAGAGTAGACTACTGTCACTGTCCAAGCTGAGTGAAGTCCAAAAAGGGAAACAAACAGAATTCAAGAAAAGTGAATTTGAGTTCAAATTTCTTCCAGCTGATAATTTCCCACAAGGTAATTAGATCTAGTTACATATGTATTCCTCACATCTCTAACTCTGTGAAAGTCACAATGAGAACAGATGGCAGACTACTTCCCAGATCTGAATTTACACTATTGCTCTGTGTTCTTCAGACCGCACAATATTGGTATTCCAGATAAACAGGGTGTTAAAGAATGAAGAATATTTACTTTCCATTACTGTCTCACTGAACTTCCATTCAAATGAACTCTTACAAAAGGCATCAGGAGAGGCAACCTGTCTTAAATCTGCCTGTCCCTCAAGAAACTCAGATGTTTGATGGTTTCTTATGTACCACACATACTGGTTTCTTGTTGTGTAAACTTAGTAAGGATCTAGTGTGTGAAAGCTAGTTTGTAAGTTCATAGGAAGCTCTAGTGAGTTAGCTGAAAGAAAACATGGTCTAAAGTGCTGGTGTGATGGGGTGGAGTAGGCCCAAAGAGGCCCTGCTGGAGACCTCAGGGTCATCTCAGGAAAGCAGTGGAGAGCTCCTCCAAATGGGCTGGAGTGGTTGCAGAGGAAGCAGCACATCACAGAAAACGGAACATAAGAACACAAGAACGGCCATACTGGGTCAGACCAAAGGTCCATCTAGCCCAGTATCCTGTCTTCTAACAATGGCCAATGCCAGATGCCCCAGAGGGAAGGAACAGAACAGATAATGAGCAGGTGATCCATCCCATTGCTCATTCCCAGCTTCTGGCAAAGAGGCTATGGACACTATTCCTGCCCATCCTGCCTAATAGCCATTGATGGACTTGTCCTCCATGAATGTATCTAGTTCTTTTTTGAACCCTGTTATAGTCTTGCAGGTCACAACATCCACTGGATAGGAGTTCTACTGTTGACTATTGGTTGTGTGAGGTTTCAGGGAGCAATCAGTCAGGGCCCAGGTAAGTCCTATAAAAAGGAGCCACAGTGAGAGCAGTTCCTTGTTGGAGCTAAAGAAACTAGCTAGCCAAAGAGCACTGCAGCACAATGCACGTCTCAGTGCTTAGTAGGAATGGGAGAATGAAGAACTCCTGGCTGTCTGCTGGGCCTGAAATTAGAAGGGTCCTGTGCTAAGTTGAAGTGTTGGTGAAGCTTAGGCCATGGAAAAGTGGCTTGGGGAACTGAAAGCAATTTTGCTAAAGGGACATGATAGCATGTTGCTGCTTAGGATTCGTGGGTTGGGACCTGGAGTAGTAAACAAGCCCAGGTCCTCCCGATCCCCACAGGGCAAAGGGGAATTGGGCCTACAATTGAACAGCAATAAGCTACCATATGGCTATGTCTACACTGCAGGCTTTTTGCGCAAGAACACGTGTTCTTGCGCAAAAACTTGCAGAGCGTCTACACTGCACACGCATGTTCTTGCGCAAGTAAATTTACAGTGAAGCATCAGAAAACAGGGCTTCTTGCACAAGAGTTATTCCTTTCTCCACTGGGAATAAGCCCTCTTGCGCAAGAGCTCTTCCACAAGAAGGCAGTGTAGACAGGCAACAGGGGTTTCTTGTGCAAGAAAGCCCTATGGCTAAAATGGCCATCAGAGATTTCTTGAGCAAGAAAGCGTCCACACTGCCATGGACGCTCTTGCGCAAAAGCACATCTCTTGTGCAAAAGCACATGCCAGTGTGGACGCACTCTTGTGGAAGATCTTTTGTACAAGAACTCTTGCACAAAATGGTTCTTGCGCAAGAAGGCTGCAGTGCAGAAGTAGCCTACGTATACCTGAGCTGTCAAGAGGTGCAGCTAGAGAGCTGGGGCCTGCAGGGACAAAGAGGGGAAACCATTGCCTCCAGAGAGAAAGTCCTGGGGGTATGGCCTGATACCAGAACTAGGACTATTTAAAGACAACAGACACAACCAACTGTGCAGGGGAGGGGGTGTGTGTGTGTGAGCACATGAGAGGTGGACATCAGATTTCTGAACTTTAAGTTCCGTTCTGGCACTAACTTTCTGGGTGGCTTTTGGCAAGTCACTGAACCAACTTGCTGCCATTTCTTCATCTATACAGCGGGGATAATATCTGTCCCATGGGTGTGTTGTGAGGATTCATTAGATAACTTCTGCTAAGCGCTTTGAGAATTGGATATGGTGCACAAATGCGAGATATCATTTTAATTACTTACTACACACAATGATTTATAAGGTATTATATAAGCATGCAGCCAGATTGCCCCTGTGCCTGGCATAGGTGCTGACTCCCTAGATGCTTTGGAGCTGGAGCACCCAGAGGAAAAATTGTTGGGTAGTTAGCATCCACTGGCAGCCTCTTTACCAGTTTCCCCCCACTCCCAGTGCTGCCTGCATATTGGTGGGCCCCCCAGATCAGTGCCTCCTCCTTCCCCCCACCTCCTGCCCGCTGCCATTAGCTGCTTAGCAGCATTCAGGAGGCTGGGGGAGGAAAGAACGAGGACATGGCACACTTAAGATAGGGGGCAGAACTGTGTGGGGAAAGGCAAGATGCGGGTGGTGCAGGGGCAGGAAGAGAGGAGACAGGTGAGGCTTTGGTTGAGCAGGGCCGGGGCGTGGGTCAGAGCCAGGATGTTGAGCATCTTTCCCCTTCCCCCAGCACTTTTGAAAGTAAGTCGGTGCCTATGCTCTTTGTGTTTTCCATATACAAAGCCTGATTGGGCAATTGGGGTAATATGAGTAACAGAGCGCTTAACCCAGTGAGATTGATGGGTGTTCCGTGGACTGTAAAAACTGTAATGACTGTATAGTTTTCACTTGAGAAGTATAGGTTGCTGAGCTGAACGAGCAGAAGTTTTCCTGTCTAAGGATCATAGAAGCCTTGGAGATGATACGTTTTAGAAAAGAATAATGACTTTTCACTTTAAAAAAACATTATCTATTTTTTTAACCACTCTGTTCAAAAATGCCTTGGCCTAAAAACTATTTCATAGGTTTTTCTTTCCCTTTTTGTAGTACATAGCATTTGCTCTTGCCTTGTAAACTCTGCAAGCTGCCTTGTAGTGCTTAGAAACATTCAGCGTTGTCTGTGGACATAGTAATCTCTGGAGTTCTGACGCATGCGTCAGGGGGGACAAAGAAATACAAAAAGATTTAAAATACTTTAGCACAGTCAACAGTTGGAGTCTCCAGGCTAGAATGCACATTCTGGCATATTATGGTTGTTTGTGGAGACTTAGTTCTCAATTTCCACAGTCAAACATTAAAAAAAAAAAATGTTTGTAGTTAAAGTTACTCGCTTCCCAGGGTTTATTTGTTCATTCACTGTATTTATATGTGAACCGTACAACATTTGGAAAGTTTTCAGTGGTGTGGCTGGATAAATCTTCACAGCTTAAATTCTTAAATTATTTATCTTAAATTATTTTAAAAAATATTTTTGGCCTGGGAAAATACCAAAGTGTTCCCAATTGCATCTTTGCTTTCCTGTAGTCTCAGTAGGGGTGATACAGGAAGTCGGAGTGTGGTTTTGCCTGATGGTAGTTCATATCTCACCCCTTATCTGTTTACTTTATAACTCAGGGAACTGATCCTACAGACACTCAGACATTTGCTTAACTGTACTCGGTTGAATATAATTATGCCCACATATAAGCATTTGTAAGCTCAAGATTTAATTGTCTCCACTCACCTAAACGTGCTATAGTTAATTGCAGAAAGCCTCAGATATGTTAGTTGCAGGCTGTTATGGAGTGGACAGGAAGACTTCTCTCACACACACACAAACAGATCCGTCAGATTCAGATGGGCAGCATCACATAGTAAATTCTTCAGAACCATGATGTCCTTCTTCTCATGTGTGTTCCTCAAAAAAAATGGTGGCAGCCTGTCAGGGCAATAACCACACATAAAAACATTTTAAGGGCACTGCAGTGAGTCAGCAAGAGAGAAGGCAGTAGTGCCTCATTACTGGAGACGCAGGTGGCCATGGAGTCCAGACCATGGAGAAGAACAGGAGCCCGAGGAGCCTGAGTTACAATTCCCTTCAAGCACAATGGCAGTGTTTCTAAAAGGCATTTTACTTTTTGAAGAAGAAATCAACATTTTCCAAATATCACCCCCACCAGCCCAAATCTCCCCTACATTTTGATAATGGAGTTAGTAAGCATGCAGTGTTATTGTAGTGAGGTTGGTCCTATGATATTAGAAGGACAAGACGGGTGAGGTAAAATCTTGTATTAGACCAACAATTCAAAAGGGCTGGGGCTCTCAGCCACTGCTGCTACTACTGTGACGGGAGCAGCCGCTGGAACCCAAGGCTCTGTAAATCACCGCTGGAGTGCCATGCAGTGCAATCCAGGCAGCACTGAGGGCTGGGTGCTCTGTCCCTTCTGCTCACAGCCTCACCCTTCTACGTTGCCTGGGGGCCCGGCAAGTAGGTTCCCATGAGTTCAGTTAACCCATTGCCACACTTTTCATTTACATTAGAGAGAAGGTGGGTCAATTAATTTATTGGCACTCAGATGACTTTTAATGATGCTAGATAGAAAGAACGAGGCATCTCTCTCAATACAACCCTGGGAATGTTATCCAGTAACAGATTCAAAACATCTTTCAGTCTTAGATTGTGGGGACTGATTTTGCTCCCTGACCATATATAGTCCAATTAAAAATAAATAAATAAGTAACCACTGAGCTCTGCTAAAGTGTCAACATGAGCAGAACACAAAAGCACAGGAAAACTTACAGTGCTGTTTAATAAAGTGGAAGCAGAAAAATAAATGTTAAAACTAGCTCATTTTGGTGAATGACAAGTACCAGAATATTTTTTGGGGGGGTGGAATCTTTATTTATCCCTTGTTTTAGTATTGTTTCTTCCATAACATTTTAAAAGATAGATAGATAGATAGATAGATAGATAGATAGATAGATAGATAGATAGATAGATAGATAGATAGATAGATAGATAGATAGATAGATAGATAGATAGATAGATAGATAGATAGATATTTGTTAATAACTTGGGTGCCACGGGAGGACACATCCAAATGAGCGCACATGGCCTCATTATTGGTGCACAAGACAAAACTCACTCCGTTCATGGATGGAAGATCTTAGAAGGGACACTGTCTACTGATACATTTGTATACATTTGTATATAATAACATTTGTTGTTCCTCTTGTAAAGCAGGAAATTATATTCAAATCTGTGTTAAAATGACATTAGGTTGCAATGTGAAGCACTCAAAAGGTAGGAAATGCTGGATAAGGTTGGTTATGCAACCTGTACCCTGCCCCCTTGCCTGCATGCGTTACTGTAGTGTCTCAAATACAGGATCACATACTCTTTTTTCCACAGGATCTCTGCCTCATTCACTTTATGAAATGGATGCACAAGAGGAAGGAATTAAGGCTGCACTTTCAATTAGAAGTCTGTCACGTCCTAATTTTAGATTGCTTAGCTTTTCAGCCTAAATAATGTATAACATTTGTTCTATGCATCATATCTATTTAGCTCATATGGAACAATGTTTAGGGTTCCGCTTTAACATCAGCGTCTCTCAAAATAGGCAGCAACTGCCGTATTTAGAAACAACATCTCAGTCTACTTGCAAGTTAATGATTCATAAATCCTGACAGGTAGAGCAGATTATGTTACCAAACTGGAATATTGTGGATTTATGTGAGGCAGGGGAAGGCAGGTGACATTCACCCACTCCCCTTCTGTAAACTTGATGTTTTTTGGGGGGCAGGGGACCAAGAAGGGGAAATTAGACTAGG